TTCCACCCCCCCCCCCCCCCAGGTTTCCTCAAACCCACGAGGATGGGTTTCAATCGCGGGCCCTTAGCGGGCTGAGTTTCAAACCCAGGATTATATATATATGTACCAAACATGGGTAATAATGGGTTTACTCCCCAACCCATTATCCTAGACCCGCCCAAACCCTCTTAACAAATAGGCCCTATGAGTTGGGGTAAAACCTCGAGATAATTGTCGAAGATTTGGCTCAAATTTTATTACATAAAAAATATATTTGTTAATTGACTTGAATATTAATACGTAAAAAATGAATTTTAATTAGGTCGAATAAAATTTTAATTAATCCAAATTTTAATCAATTCAAATTTTAATATAAAAAAAAATATATTTGAATCAGCTTAAATTTTAATCGACTCGAATTGTAAGTTCTTCACAGTTAACAATTGGCATGTCATGATAAAGATGCTCTTCAAGCATCATTTTGAAGTAACCATCGAGGTTGTTGAAGTTGTTCTCCAGCCCTACATGGTACCTAGTTAAAACATCTATGATCCATCCAATCTTTGGACAGACGTCCTCAGCCGAGAAACTATATATCCAACATCTTCATGGTTTCACGAAGGACATCTTTCATATTTTGACCCTTAAATTGCTTTCCTATGTTTCTTTTACTAAGAGCCAGTTGTATCTATGATGTGGTAACTTGAAAGAATTCTTAGACTTAGTAGATAGGGCATGGCCATAAGGTAACCTCCTTTGCAAAGGGGATGAAACCTAAGAAGCATTAGATAGCGCATTCCACTGATACTAGCCCTTTTCATCTGCTGGGAATAACAAATTTCCCAAACTTTAAGCAAAATGAAACCAGTTGGGGTTTTTTTTTTAATGGAAGTGGACAGAAGGGGCAATTTATACATCTAAATAGTTAGAGGGCTTATATAGATGAAACAAATATTAAATGCTTAGTTGAAACTAATAAGTGTAACATTTAGAGGTCAATCAAATAAGGATTCCTTGCTATTATCAAAAGCTAGTAGATTTATTCCATTTTATATAAAGTACACATAACTTGATGCACAAGACGCTACACACAATCACTTTAAATACACTACATGATCTTCAATACTCTCAACTGAAAAACCAAAATAAAGATACAAAACATTCACACACATATTACCGCATAACAACTACAAAACAAGTTAAGCTTTGTCTCTACAAAGCTGTTTATCCTTATTTTTCCCAATTATACTTGATAGGCACAAGACAAAGGGGTGTTTTCTTCGGCGTGGTAATACCATTTTTCTCTTCCATGTTGATATCTTCTGTTTTCATACCATTAGGCAATTCCCAATCAAAACAGTAGAAAAGATTAGCCAGCGTGAACTCTATAGTAGCAATGGCCATGTTTAATCCAGGACACATTCTTCGACCAGACCCAAATGGCAGTAGCTCAAAATGTTGCCCTTTATAATCGATATCATTATTTTCAAACCTCTCAGGGTAGAATTCATCTGGGTTCTTCCAACTATTTGGATCTCTACCTATAGCCCACGCATTAATTAAAACCCTTGTTCCGGGGTAAATATCGTACCCATTGCTACCACCAATCTTACAATGGCGCATACTCGTGTGTGGGATCAATAAGGGGGCAACTGGGTGCATCCTTAGGCTTTCTTTCACCACCATCTTTAAGTATTTTAGCTTATCAAGATCGGCTGCTTCAACTTTTTGTTTCCTTCCAACGCAGCCTCTAACTTCGGTTTGCAGCTTTTGCATTACCCGAGGGTTCTTAACAATTTCGGTCATTGCCCACACAATTGTGGCCGCACTCGAATCAGTTCCTCCAAGAAATGTATTCTGAAATTTGATCAAGTATTTTGAGAATAGTAGAATATGAACGTCAAAACATAAATGTAGAAAAAATAAAATAAATTTATGAAGCTTAACTAGTTTGCTAAATAAATGCATATAGTTAGAAGAACTAATCAGTAGGAGTTTTACCATGAGAATTGCCTTGATATGGTTGTTTGTCAGACAGAAAGCGCTAGTTTCATCTTTTGATAATCTAATCAGTGAAGTAACGAGGTCGTCACAATCGCCTTTTGGCATGTCCTGATAAAGATGCTCTTCAAGCACCATTTGAAAGTAATCATCAAGGTTATTGAAACACTTATCTATCCTTGCTTGGTACCCAGTAATGATATCTATGATCCATCCAATCCACGGAAAGAAGTCCTCGGCCGAGAGACTACTCAATATCTTACTGGTTTCAACAAGAACATCTTCCAAAGTTTGACCCTTAAATTGCTTTCCTCTATAGCTTTTACCAAAAGCAACTGAGCAAAGGACTCCATCCACCAAAGCATAGAATTTCTGGTCAAGATTCACAGGACTAGGTGAGTCTATCAATAGAGAGTTTATCAGATTATCAATTTCGACTTCTCTTGCATGCCAAAATAATTTAGCACGTTTAGAATTAAAAAGTTCAGAAACAAAGAGTCTGTTCGTAGATTGCCACTGATTACTATACGGCGTGAAAGCCACATCTAAGAAATTGTAAGTAAGTCTCTTTGTACCAGGTGAGGATGGTCGACTGCAAAAGTCAATATCGTGTGTTTTCAAGACTTCTTTGGCCATGTTCGCGGATGAGATGACTACGGTTGGGGTGTTACAAAGTTTTAATAGCATGACTGGACCATATTTTCGAGAGAGTTGCAACAGGGATTGGTGAGGCAATTTGCCTAGCTGGTGCAAGTTGCCTATGATTGGAAGCCTTGGAGGGCCTGGTGGAAGCTTGGCTTGTTTGACTGTCTTCTTTCGATAAAGAAGACAGAGAGAAAGGAAGGGCAGGGAGAGGAGTGCAAGTACAGGAAGCCATGATAGTGTAAGTGGGATAACAGCCATGGTTTTTTTTAGTTGTGTTCTACATGCATGGCCACCAGCTACCTCCTTTTAAAGGGATAAGTCGTAAGAACTATACCTGCGTGACTTAATTTATTGATTTAATTTTTTAATTTCGTTAATCATTATTGTTGAATTAACGATGGATCTTATTCTCAAAAAGAAAAAATTAACAATGGATCTTAAAATTGGCTGGACCCGCTATCAACTAAGATAATTGGGATGAATTAAATCAATAAATTAGGTATAACTAATTTATTAATCAATTATTGCATTGATAATGGATCTAAATAGTGACACTGATCAATCTAATTGCAACAATGGATAATCCTTAATAAGGTACAACTAACATTATTGAAGAAGTATTATTCATGTGCAACAACTGTAATATAATGTTGGGTAAAGTATATTTCAAATTTGTATGTATTCCTTTGTGTGTATTCATTAAAAAATCTATATAATAAAGTACAATATAATTCAAATTTCAAAAGATATACAAAAAGAATTTTGTTTTTGGTGGTTGAAATTTTTTTAAATTTATTTTAAAGTTAATTTTATGGTTAATATTAACACTTCAAATTTAATAGAAAAAATAGGTTTTTAAGAGTGTGTTTGGTATGACTTTTTAAAAGTATTTCTAAATCTTATAACTTGTTATAAAACTTTAAGAAAAAAATTAGTATTTGAAATTGTCTCATCACCATCACCATTACCACCAACACCGCCATCATCACCATTATCCCCACCACATCACTGCCACCACCACTGTCGCCACCCCATCACTCCACCACCACCATCACTACTATCACACCACCCCCACCACCACTACCACAACCATCACTGTCGTCGCCACCCCACCCCACCCTACCACCACATCTATCATAATCATAATCACCCCATCACCACAGCCACCGACCACCACCACCCGCCACCACCACCGCCATCGCAGCTACCACTCCACTACCATCGCCATTGCCCCACCTTCACATTCATCACACTCACCCTATTGCCATCCACCACCGATTACTACCATCGTCACTATCCACCAATATCGTCATCTCATTTGTATATGTATTAACACTACCACTGTGGCCGACCATCAGAACCCATCACGACCATTATTGTCCATCACAACCCACCGCTACCCACTACCATAACCCATCACCATCCGTTATCGCTCACCGTGGGTCGCAATCGTAATAGTGGTGGTAGGTTTTGGGTGACAACGGTAATAGTGACAACCATGAGTGACGACGGTTGTAGTGTTGGGTGTGGGTGGTGTTAGCCATCACTATCACTGCTCACCCACGCTACAATCAGTGTTTAAATTTCTTTCTTTCTTTTTTTTTATAATTTAATTTTGGGTGTGAATACAAATATATTTATTGTTAACTATTTTTTTTATTATTTTGTGCCTTCAAATCCAAGAAATAATTAATATATATATATATATATTAGTCAGGCATGTAATGGATACAAGCCACCTTTAAATTAGCATAAGACTATGCCTTGTAATTGTAAACACTATTCTGATAATTGACATGAAATTTCCATGTTTAGATACAATCTTAGTGGATTCAGGTGCTAAAATAGCAAATCCGTGAAATAGTTTGGTCAAACAAAGGCAACAAAACATGACTCAAATTTTTTAAACTTATCTTATACACATACAAACACGACAAGACACAGATTATATAGGTTGGATAAATTTTAATTTGATAGGACACGTTTGCCTGTGTGATTTGCTCTTCATTTTGCCATGCAAACAAAGATGGCACCCTGCCAACGGCTGGAAATATTTTAGAGCAAATTGAATTTTGCACTTTGGAAGATTTAAGAAATTTCATTTTGCATCCTTAAATATCATATTTTTTACATTGCGCCATCAATATATTAAATGTGTTGTAATATGACTCTTCTATTAATTTTTATTACTCATTATGTCAACGTTAATGACGTGACTTTTGACTGAATAGGAAATTGTAACTAACAAAAGGGCGTATTGTAATACTTTTAATATATTGAGGGTGTAATATAAAAAATCTAATTTTTTAAAGGAGTACAAAGTGAAAATATTTTAATACAACTATAAACTAAAATTCATTTTAATTATTAAGCACTTACTGAACAGTATGTTTTGGCATGAGACCCGTGTAATTGTAATACCATTCTTCTATTTTAATACAAGTATATTTAAATACTTATATTGCTTTCACTGCTGGCCCATCAAGAACATCTTCTTCTTTTTTTTCCATTTTATACCAAACAATGATCACATATTTCCAACAGTTGGAAATATTTTAATAAAATAAAAAACTGAATTTAGTTTTTTAATTCCCTATTAAACATTTCCTTTTTTGGCATGAGACTCTTGAAAAAAAGTCAATAATTATAACACACAACTACTGGCTCCAAAAGATAACTTAAAAATCACCGACTTTTTTTCTCCCCGCTAACTCCCATCACAGGTTACTTTAGATTCAAATATTCTCTAGTTTGTTTTATAGGCTTGGGATGGCATTTGTCTACAGATTCCAATACCAACCACGAGCCCTAGCTAGGGTTCTCAATCCATCGTGTCGTGTTGGGTTTAAATCTTATCGTTTTAAAATTATTCAACATATACCTTGACTTAATTATAATCATGTATAATTAGACTAATATTGCGTTGAATTCATGTTACATAAAAGTTGGGTATAAACCGTGTTTAGTGGGTTTAGATCTTATTTTGTCGGGTCGCACCGCCTCTGTTTTTTTTTTTTTTGTACTGGTCTAATGAGTCTGTCCATTTGTCAACCCAATCCTAAGGCCAACCCCAAATTTGCTAATTTTGTGTCACCAATTCAGATCTTTTTCAATGCACTGCTACTAAAGTTCACGCTATGATAGATCATTCACCATAAATGGTGAAAACTCCCTATAAATTGTGAATTCTACTTAAAATTATGATAGGTGATCAAACATTAAAGAAAATCAAGGAAAAATGTATTGGGATCGTGTAATTCCGCCCTTACTCTCTCATCAATTTGCATTGATGATTTTTATCAAGGTTTCGAATACATTCTTCCCTTCTTTTCTTTTCTTTTTTTTTTGCTACAAATTATCCAAGCTTGCACAAATTACTCCCTCGAATAAATTTTTCCCTTCTTTGGGAATAACTATTCACAAAGTTGAGGTTTATTATTAGTCTCAATCACCAATTCAGCTTATTACTCTTCCCTTTCTTGTTAGTTTTCACCATCCATGGTGCATTTCATGGACTGTAACTCTCACACACAAGCTGACTTGACACACACAAACCAATTAATTAGAGATTGTAAATGGATCCGGATCCATTCTATGCTGCACCATCAAGTAGTCAGGAATCTTGACCAAAAGGGCCTAGCTCTTTGAGCCATTGGAAACTCATGGCTTTATTCGTTCATATTACATTCGTGTGACCTTATAACCTATATTAGTAATAGTAGCTCACAAGTCAAAACACACATAAAAAAACAATTAAACAGCCACCAAGTCACAGTGGAAAGGCCTCAATGATGTACTGAAGTGCTGGGATTTTGATGATCTTGCAACTTGGAAAGCCTCCTTCCTCTAGTATCTTCTTCCATGCAACCTCAGTCCTCTCTTTTCTCCCTGAAAAGTGGGTGAGCATCACCAGATCAAACATCAGGCCTACCTTGTCAAATGGACCATAACCGCCCGGCTGCAAAACCACAATCTTCCCTGTTTTTTTTGGTATTGCTTCTCGGCAATTTTTTAGTATCTTGATACAATCTTCATCACTGCAGTCGTGCATGATCCACTGCATTGAAATAATACTATCATGCTGCCGATCGCTAAATCGATATAAACTATTTATGTGATGTATATATGTAGATGCATGTGTAAATAAACTGAACTGAGTCAAGCACCAAATTGTTTGGCTATGGCGCTTGTTTACGGGACGTGTTCGATAGTATGATTAGCTTTAAACATCTTATTCATCCTCAACTTACTAACTTTTTTGTTCCATCTGGCTTAGCGTGATATGGTTCAACTGATTAAATCAATCAACAACGCTATATTTTTCAAAATATTTACCGAATTTGTTTTATCAAATCAATGTGCATGGGTGGTTGAATTAGCACCTCCCATATTAACTTTGACTCATCTTCGTGCTTCAATAATTATGATTATGTCACATTATTTTATAAACTTTTTTATTTATCAGCGTCAGAAGAACTGAACTTGAGCTTAAACTATCCATTCTCATGTTGAAGACCAAGCTCAACCTGTATATATATAATGTAAACATTATATTACAAATAATGAAACTTTGAAATAAGTCTTCCAATGTCAGAATTTAAAATTTTAAAAATTTAGATATTATAAATAATATATTATTTTATTTTTCATGTATTAAGTATACAAATTTTAAAGGGTAGAGTAATGTAAATGATAGATAAATAAGTAAATGTCAACCTAGTTAGGATATATTCATTCTATTGGATATAGTTCATTCCCTAATTAAAAATAAAATTATTTATTATTTTATTTTTATTCATTTTAACTCTATTTTTTATTTAAAAATATTATTTTCACATATATTAAGTTACAAAAATATTCATTATTTTTAAATAAAGTTATATATAAAAAAACTCATGAACAGACCCGCCCAATAGACTCGCAAGTTGAGTCGAGGATAGTTTATCCCTACCCGAAGTCCGACCCGATCCGTTTGATAACTCACTTGGGTAAGAATTTTAGCCTACACCATTCAAACCAGGCCAAAAAAAAAAATTTGCGGACTAGCCTGGCCTGGGCCATGGATACCCCTGATGTCAAATATGGTATCTTTGACTTCGTGCTCTACTAGTTTTGCATTTGCAATCACGTAGATAATTAAATTATTTTAATATATGATTTTTAATATCTACAGCTAATAGTTCATTTTTAATTGGATTTTCCTGATTCCGTGTCTCTGATCCATTAAAAGGTATTGTATAAATTAAACTGCACCATCTAACCATAGAAAATTGTGATCTTCCCAATTTTTGTCATTGCGTTTTTTTTACATAAAAAAAAGGACGACAGGTGGAGAATTAATATAAAAAAATCCGTTACGGGTAGAAGTGCAACATTGGACAAGACTATGGTACCGGGAAAAAAAAATTCGATACCATACCTTTAAAATTTATAATTTTAGGTGTGTTTTTACAATTTTTATTAGGTTATTTTATAAGAAAAAAATTTATAACATTTGAGGTCATATTACAATTTTTATGGTTCAAGTTAAAATTTTTGTACATCATTTAAAACTTTTGTGACGGTAGTTAGCGATTAGGGCAATGTGAAACAGCAATGTTAGTTTAGGGTATAATGTGAAAATTTTGGTAGTTCATGGGATAAAATGGAAAATGTGTGATATTTCAAGGGGTGTAAATGCAATTTACCCTTAATTTAATTTTTTGGTATGAGACCCCATATCATTGTAATCCGTTTATACTATTCAGTTTAATTTTTAATCACTTACCGAACAGCAGGGGCGCAGCCAGATTACTCTTTCGGTGGGGACAACCTAAATCATATGAACGTTAAAATTATTAATGTTTACAAAAATATAATTTTATTAATAAAACGTCAATTAAAGTCGCAACTCATATGCACAAGCTCTATACAAAAAAAGCTTACAACCCCAATTTCGTGTTCGTGTTGAAAGCTTTAGGCTTGGAGCTTTCGAAGGTGAAGTGGTGAACCACAGGACAAATGGGTGAAAAGAAGCATTTAGCCTTTTTAAAGGAATTTTTTTGACATATATAATAGAGACCCATATATTTGTCAAAATATCATAACTATTTATAAAATTTTAAAAAAAAAATTAATAAAGGCAAATCTCTAATAATTTTTAAAATTTTTAAAATTATACTTACGCCCCCAATAATTTTGAAAAATTCCAGTAGGTGTAGATCCGCCATTGATGAACAGTATGTTTTGGCATGAGACTCGTGTCATTGTAATACCAATCTTCTGTGTTAATAAACGTGTTTCATGGAGAACATTTTTAATACAAGTATATGTTTCAGCACTTTATATTGTTTCTACCAGTGGGCTCATCAAGAACATCTTTCAAAATCTTACCCCCTAAATTGCTTTCCTCCACAATTTTCATGGAAAGCAACCCCATCCACCAAATTAACGTTTTATCATCAAGAGTCAAGACTAACAGGATTATAGGTGGGGTTAGCCTCAACCTCTCTTGCACGCCAAAGTCTACACATAATGATCACTGTATGTTTGGTATTACATGTGTGGGAATAACACATTAGGTAGAGAAAGAAGTGAAAGTGTCCGGGTATACAATGGATGGACTCATTACCCATATGCTTAAGCTTTTAAGTGGTATTAGTTCTAAACATGTATATTGGGCGTTGGATCACTGGACTCCATTCTGCCAACAAGTGGTATCAATATTGATTAACATATCCTTGTGCAAAACCAACAAGTAGTATTAAAGTCAAGTCATGCTTGACAATCCTGTGTGAACTCTCGAAGAAATTGTGCAGCGTGTTAGTATTAATGATGACTCTTAACANGTGCATTTCATGGACTGTTACTCTCACACACAAGGTGCGACTTGACACACACAAACCAATTAATTAGAGGTTGTAAATGGATCCGGATCCATTCTATGCTGCACCATCAAGTAGTCAGGAATCTTGACCAAAAGGGCCTAGCTCTTTGAGCCATTGGAAACTCATGGCTTTATTCGTTCATATTACATTCATGTGACCTTATAACCTATATTAGTAATAGTAGCTCACAAGTCAAAACACACATAAAAAAACATTTAAACAGCCACCAAGTCACAGTGGATAGGCCTCAATGATGGACTGAAGTGCTGGGATTTTGATGATCTTGTAACTTGGAAAGCCTCCTTCCTCTAGTATCTCCTTCCATGCAACCTCAGTCCTCTCTTTTCCCCCTGAAAAGTGATTGAGCATCACCAGATCAAACATCAAGCCTACCTTGTCAAATGGACCATAACTGCCCAGCTGCAAAACCACATCGACAATTACAATCTTCCCTGTTTTTTTTGGTATTGCTTCTCGGCAATTTTTTAGTATCTTGATACAAACTTCATCACTGCAGTCGTGCATGATCCACTGCATTGAACTAGTACTATCAACTGCAGATCGCTAAATCGATATAAACTATTTTTGTTATGTATATATGTAGATGCGTGCGTAAATAAACTGAACTGAGTCAAGCACCAAATTGTTTGGCTACGGCGCTTGTTTACGAGACGTGTTCGATAGTATGATTAGCTTTAAACATCTTATTCATCCTCGACTTTGTAACTTTTTTGTCCCATCTGGCTTAGCGTGATATGGTTCAACTGATTAAATCAATCAACAACGCTATATTTTTCAAAATATTTACCGAATTTGTTTTATCAAATCAATGTGCATGGGTGGTTGAATTAGCACCTCCCATATTAACTTTGACTAATCTTCGTGCTTCAATAATTATGATTATGTCACATTATTTTATAAACTTTTTTATTTATCAGCGTCAGAAGAATTGAACTTGAGCTTAAACTTTTCATTCTCATGTTGAAGACCAAGTTCAACCTGTATATATATAATGTAAACGTTATATTACAAATAATGAAACTTTGAAATAAGTTTCCCAATGTCATAATTTAAAATTTTAAAAATTTAGATATTATAAATAATATATTATTTTATTTTTCATGTATTAAGTATACAAATTTTAAAGGGTAGAGTAATGTAAATGATAGATAAATAAGTAAATGTCAACCTAGTTAGGATATATTCATTCTATTGGATATAGTTCATTCCCTAATTAAAAATAAAATTATTTATTATTTTATTTTTATTCATTTTAACTCTATTTTTTATTTAAAAATATTATTTTCACATATATTAAGTTACAAAAATATTCATTATTTTTAAATAAAGTTATATATAAAAAAACTCATGAACAGACCCGCCCAATAGACTCGCAAGTTGAGTCGAGGATAGTTTATCCCTACCCGAAGTCCGACCCGATCCGTTTGATAACTCACTTGGGTAAGAATTTTAGCCTACACCATTCAAACCAGGCCAAAAAAAAAAATTTGCGGACTAGCCTGGCCTGGGCCATGGATACCCCTGATGTCAAATATGGTATCTTTGACTTCGTGCTCTACTAGTTTTGCATTTGCAATCACGTAGATAATTAAATTATTTTAATATATGATTTTTAATATCTACAGCTAATAGTTCATTTTTAATTGGATTTTCCTGATTCCGTGTCTCTGATCCATTAAAAGGTATTGTATAAATTAAACTGCACCATCTAACCATAGAAAATTGTGATCTTCCCAATTTTTGTCATTGCGTTTTTTTTACATAAAAAAAAGGACGACAGGTGGAGAATTAATATAAAAAAATCCGTTACGGGTAGAAGTGCAACATTGGACAAGACTATGGTACCGGGAAAAAAAAATTCGATACCATACCTTTAAAATTTATAATTTTAGGTGTGTTTTTACAATTTTTATTAGGTTATTTTATAAGAAAAAAATTTATAACATTTGAGGTCATATTACAATTTTTATGGTTCAAGTTAAAATTTTTGTACATCATTTAAAACTTTTGTGACGGTAGTTAGCGATTAGGGCAATGTGAAACAGCAATGTTAGTTTAGGGTATAATGTGAAAATTTTGGTAGTTCATGGGATAAAATGGAAAATGTGTGATATTTCAAGGGGTGTAAATGCAATTTACCCTTAATTTAATTTTTTGGTATGAGACCCCATATCATTGTAATCCGTTTATACT